TAATATTATAATTAATAATTATATAATATATTGATTATATAATTATAATATTATAAAAGAAAAATACAATGATTAATTGTGATTATTCATGATTAATCACGATTTTTATAATTGTTGATTAATTGCAATTAATGTACTTGACTATATAGTTAATAGTCAATTAATCGTGATTTTGTATTCGCGATTCTTAACACTATTGATAGAGAAAAAGTTTCTATCGTTTTGTCAAATATCTTTAATAAGATAGTACCTCCTATATATTTAAGAATAGATATAGCAAATTTTGTAGTTGTTGACTAGCTTGAGATCGAAGAACGAGAATTAGAAAAAAGCTGATATCGTACAAGAAATAATATTTGAAAATTACCCCTTTTATAGCATATATTTTACAAGCTATTATTCTTTAAATTTATTACAATGGATTTAAATAGAGAAGTTATAATAACCAAGTTTTCCAAACATAGATGTGAGTTCGATGGTCTAAGTGAATATTATGATTCAGAATATTCTAAAACAGAGTTCAAATCTAGCGATTCTGAGACAGAATCTGAATTTAGTGATTCTGAAGTAGTAAATTTATCTCTTCCAGTTATAAGTGAAATAATACAAGAGCATGATATTAATTTTATTTTCACATTCAATAAATATCTCAGAGAGACTGGTATATTTATTCCTAATTATTCATCATAGATTATAAATAATTTCATTTAGAAGCAGAGAATAGGTAATTAATTATCTAAACTTGATTATTTTTTCAATAATTACTATACATTAAAACACTACAATAAAATTTGTTCTTGCCTCTGTTCACTTACAAATATTGTAAAACAATAAGGCTTTGCATTTCGTATCTAGATAAGTGTAGTTAATTAGTAACTGTTAATAGGCAGATTACTATTTTTCTTTTTTCAAACTTAAACTAAGTAAAAAATCTATAATAATAACTAATGCTTCATTATGCTTCGCATCAGAACCTTCCAGGTGGACCTAGATGCTCCACTATGTTCTACATTACACTTTTCAAGTGGACCTAAATATTCCACTGTATTTCGTATTATACTTTCCAAGTGGGGTTAAATGCTTTACTGTGTTTCGTATTATACCTTCCAAGTGGGGTTAAAACATAAATTAATCATTATCAAAATTAAGATTTCGGAAACTCAAACTAAGTAAGAAATCTATAATGTTTTCTAGATGTTAAAAAAATTATTAAAGGTCAGATAGCTATACAATATATTTTTTATCTAACGAAAATGTGATCTAAATTATAAAATAAACATCATCGAAATTAAGATTCTGAAAATTTCAGTTAGGCAAAAAAATAATATAAATTTCTAGATATATTTCAAGGTGAAAAAGATCAAAAAGTTATACAATAATTAAAAAAGATCAATATAGTAGAAGATGAGCTTGCACCAGTTAGCCGATACTAATACCTTAGCTAGGAAACTCACCTCTTCCTCTCCTGAGCCAATAGCCATTTTGATCATAATAAATTTTCAATTTTTCCAGTTTTCTTGTACTTGGTAATAAATCTATATATTGTAGTAGGATCTCATTTCATTTTTTTTTGTAATTTGGATGATATTTAAAGTTTTAGTATATATCAGTATTTTCTCTATTAGAAAATTTTTTTTAGTAAAAACCTTTGAAAATTAACATTAACATAAGTATTTTGTTATTTTTTGATATGTTATCCTTTAAAGATCTTTGCTGATCTTTAAAGGTTATCAATTTTGATATTTTTCACATGGTAAAATTTTATGAATATTATTATTTTCATAGTAAATTCATATCGATAACCTTTGAAGGTTATCAATTTTGATATCTTCATGTATGAAATTTTACAAATATTATTATTTTTATAGTAATTTTGTATCAATAATCTTTGTTTATATTAGATATTCATAATATATCATTTCAATGGTCATCACTTGCATTTATATCACTGTGATTTTCAATTGACATTGTACTGTCAATGATATCCTTCAAAGTTTATCACAGTAATTTTAATTGATATTGTATTGTTAATAATATCTTTTGAAATTTATCATATTGTTAATTATCATTTCAAAATTTTCTTTGAAGGTTAATATTTTTATTTGTATAACAAGATCAGTTATTTCATATGACTTATTATTTAACTATATATTCTTTTATTTATTTTCAAAATAAATACTTTTATTCTCTAAACAATTCATATGAAACTCTTCAAAAAAATAAATTTATATCTTCGTATTTTTGTTATTGTTATATCAAAATATACCAAATAAAAGACAATAATTTAAAATATATTTAATAATATTTATGGCTTGTATCAACTTTATTTTATAACTTAACAAGTAAATAAATATATTTTATACTTTGTTTACTTTCAGGAATACCTCATTAACTTTAAC